CATCCGACTTCCGCTCGGGTTATGATCTCATGGTTTGTGGGTTTGAGCCTTGCGTTGGGGCTCTGTGCTGACAGCTCAGAGCCTGGAGCCTGCTTCGGATTCTGTGTCTGCCTCTCTGCCCCTCCCCTGCTCGTGCGCTTTCTCTCTCTCTCTCTCTCTTTCTCTCTCTGAAAAATAAATAAACATTAAAAAAATTACTTAAGGAAAGCGTATTGTTAAAAATAACTTCAGAGAGTCTCTCTTTACCCACACATAGGTGAATATGAATCGTACTGTTAGAGATCTCTTCAGTCTGTAAAAAAGTACAATATGACCTATGTTTTTAGGCTTTATACATGCCCTGTGTAGAAGGCAGATTACTAGGGAAGGTAGTCCCCCATCATTTGAGGTTATTAATGACCAGACATATTTTGTTTGCTAAGAAGGGATGAGGAACAGAAATTTGGTCATCGTTTCCTATACTACCCACATCTCAAATCAGATGATCTGAGAATGAGCAGTAGGCTCACTCATAATTCAGATAATTCTTGTTTTCTGTTGACTTTAGAGTTGCCTATAGCTTCTTCCTTTTCTAATCAAGTTTATTTCTTAAACCCTACTTTGTCATGTAAAATTGGCATGGGCCTTATAGTCTCTAAGGTCTTTGTGTTTGATTATAATAACTATGAAACTGCTCATACCTTACTAAATATTACAGGTTTTGCTCTGCTATGTCTTGACATAGTGCTCTGATCTTATTCTCTGCTTAAAAATCTTTCAGTGGCGAGGTGCCTGCGTGGCTCAGTCAATTAAGTGTCTGACTCTTGGTTTTGGCTCAGGTCATGATCTCACCACCATGAGACCAAGCCCTACTTTGGGCTCCACGCTGAGTGTGGAGCCTACTCGGGATTTTCTCTCTCTCTCTCTCTCTCTTTCTCTCCCTTCCTCCCTCTCCCCAAAACAAACAAAACAAAAACAAAACCAGGAAAAAAAAAACAACCTTTCAGTGGCTTCCCACTACCTACAGGATAAAACCCAAGCTGCTTTTGTAGCAGAAGATGTAAACCCCGTCAGGAGCCAGCTTCCTACCTGTATTTTTAACCACTTTGTTACTTTCCCACGTAAACTTACACTTTCACCTTTTCTCTTTGCGGCACATAGCTCACTCATACCATGTTTTCCTCCCCTTCACTCCGCCTGTTCTAAATGATGAATTCCTATTGGTCTGTCACATTCCTAGTGATTCCACTCTACAGACACCTCAGACCCCTGGGGATGTTTGTTATTCCCTCCTTAGGGCCCCTTCCATCGCTTGCATGCTTCTGGTACTGCACTGACCACAATAGCTGGTTTGTGCTGGATGCCCTACTAAGTGCTTTGCGTGCGTGTTATGTTATTTACTCATTGCTAGAACCCTAGCAGGTAGGGACCATAATTATCCCCTTGAGCATATGAGGAAACAGCCTCAGAGAGGTTATTTGACCTAAGATTACACAACTAGAGGTAACAGGCAAAGCTAAGATTGCAAAATGGGTCTGTTTGGTGTTTTATTTTATTTTTTATTTATTTTTTTTAATTAATTTTTTTTTTAACGTTTATTTATTTTTGAGACAGAGAGAGAGCGTGAATAGGGCAGGGGCAGAGAGAGAGAGACACAGAATCTGAAACAGGCTCCAGGCTCTGAGCTGTCAGCACAGAGCCCGACGTGGGGCTCGAACTCACGAATCGTGAGATCATGACCTGAGCCGAAGTCGGCCGCTTAACTGACTGAGCCACCCTGGCGCCCCGTTTGGTGTTTTAGTATGTGCTTTTAACCACATCTACACTTCCTTTCTCACCATGCTGTAAAATAATTTATTGCATGTCTGTTTCCTCCACTATATGTTGATCTTCTTTATGTTGGAGAACACTATCTTACCGTTTTTCCGGTTTCTAGTGTTGTGCCTGATACTTAGAAACTTTTGTGTAGTGCATGGTTCTTTGTCCCATGCGGTGTATTTATCATACTTCATATCTGCTTGCATTTCTTTGCAGGCTTACGGAAATTTTGCGTGGAGTAATCCATTGCATCCAGATATCTTCCCAGGACTGCGAAAGATCGAGGCAGAGATTGTAAGAATAGCTTGTTCCCTGTTCAATGGGGGACCGGATTCCTGTGGATGTGTAAGTATGTGCAGGGGCCTCCAACTATCTTATATTGTTAGCTTAAAATAGAAGAGTTTGTTGAAAACATTTTATTATACAGATAATATGTGATTATTGTAGGAAGATCCAGATTAACAGCAATGTAAAAATGTTAACTTTTGCAATTAAAAAAAACTTTGTTTTTAAGTTTATTTATTTTGAGAGAGAAAGAGAGCAGGAGCAGGGGAGGGGCAGAGGGAGGGAGAGAATTCCCAAGCTGGCTTCACACTGTCAGCACAGAGCCCCACGTGGGGCTCGGTCTCACAATCTGTGAGATCGTGACCTGAGCCGAAACCAAGAGTCAGGAGCTTAACTCACCGAGACACCCAGGTGCCCCAACTTTTACAGTTTTTAGAGCATCGACATTTTATTGTACATTTAAAAAAAAATTTTTTTCATGTTTATTTTTGAGAGAGAGAGAGAGAGAGACAGAGTGCGAACAGGGAAGGGGCAGAGAGAGAGGGAGACACAGAATCCAAAGCAGGGGCAACACAGAGCCCGATGAGGGGATTGAACTCACAAACTGTGAGATCATGACCTGAGCCAAAGTCAGACAGTTAACCGACTGAGCCACCCAGGCACCCCTTATTGTACATTTTTAAAGTTTTTTTTTTCTTTTCAGGTTTTTCTTTTGAAAAATTTTAAACTTTATATGAGTTCCTATAACAGTTTAGAGAACACCGTGGATTCACTAAATGTAAATGTTTTGCACATCTGCTCTGTCTATTCTTTTCTTTCTCTCCCTCCCTCTTTCCTCCATCCACTGACACACCCACTGCCTACCCATTGGTCTATATAATTTTGTCAAGCCATCATAGTGTTTTTGATATACTTCTCATTTTACTCGAGCTGGAAGTTTATTATTTTGCTATAAATCAAATCTCTTTTAGTTGGTTTAGGAATAAAGGAAGGGGAAGTTATTATATTTAAAGACACATGTAAGGATTTTTTGTTTCAGCTGTTCTTTCTAGTAGATGTTTGTTAATTTTCCTAAACTGTGATTGATAAACTTCTGTTTAGATTTGTTACTACAGACTGATACTTGCTTTCTCTAGAAGAAACTCAGGTCTCTCAATCTCTGCTTATGCAGGGTAGTTAGATTTAACTCAGCATGCTGTAGTGGTAACCTAGAGGCACTAAGCCTATCAGATACTTTTATAATCATTATAATATCTGCAAATTTAACTTTTTTTTATTAAAAAAAAAATTTTTTTTTTATTAAAAAAAATTTTTTTTTTAACATTTATTTATTTTTGAGACAGAGACAGAGCATGAACAGGGGAGGGGCAGAGAGAGAGGGAGACACAGAATCCGAAACGGGCTCCAGGCTCTGAGCTGTCAGCACAGAGCCCGACACGGGGCTCGAACTCATGGATCGTGAGATCATGACCTGAGCCGAAGTCGGTCGCTTAACCAACTGAGCCACCCAGGCACCCCTCTGCAAATTTAACTATTGAAGGGCCTGTCCAAAGGCAAGAACATTTTATAGTTTTTTGTTTTTTCCAATAAGCAGTAGTTGTTTTACTTTATGTTGGCACCATGAAAAATCAACACATTCGTATATTCTGTATCTAACAGAATGGTATTCCTGGCATTCATTCCCCCCCAGAATTCCAAAGCTGTTAAAAACTGAGCCAACCATAATCCAGCAATGGGTTCCTTTATGGCATTTATATGAACAGGTGGCATGGTGGGAGAGGCCAGTATACTTAGAGTATGTGGGTATTCTCCTGTGCCACAGACTCTGTGGACTTCTAAGAGGCCACCAGTGAAGCAACCAGAACATAGTTTGGCCTTGTCTGGTCAAGTCAAGGATACACGTATCTCATGACCCTGAAATGTCACTACTCAGGGCGTACCCTAGGAAAACTGGTACATGTGTGTGTCGGGATGGATGTATACTCACAGCAGCACTGTCCATGGTAGCTGCAAACTGGCAGTAACCAGTGGCTGTCAATAGTGCGGTGGAACATTGTAGAGTAATTTGCTTCAGTCCATTGGAGCTGCTGCTCCGATTAATGCTCAAATTGGCCCATTTTGACCAGTGGGAGCCTCTTAGTTTTGGCTCTTGGGTCCTTTTGTGTGACTCATGTAGTCTTTGAAAGCTTCCTTTCTTTTTCCCTTTTTTTGAGAAAATACTTTTATTTGATGAAATATTCCAGGTTGACCTTGCATGCTTCCAGACCCTGATTCAGCCACTTGTCCAAAGAGCCCGGTCTCATTTAGAACTCTGTAAAATACTCACGTGGTTCGTGAGTCAAACTTACGGAACAAGACAGATAAAAACTCAGCCAGAATAAAATCCAGAGAGACAAATAGAAGGCACAGAAGAGGTTGAGAGCCATGAGGCTAGAGTGGGAAGGGCTGACACACATCCGACAGCTGGTTAATTAGCCAGGAGACATGGGGAACTTGGACAGGTGTAGCCGTTAGAGCAGCGATGTTCTCCGTAGCAGCAGTGGCTGGGGTGTTGTGGGTAGAGGGAAGATGGGCTGTGAGGTGATAATCGTCGGAGCCAGGAGATAATTACAGAGCTTTCATTGATTCAAGTAATTGATCAATGAATTAATTTTTAAAGTAAGCTCTGTGCCCGATGTGGGTCTTGAACTCCCAACCCTGAGGTCAAGCGTCACATGCTCTACGCACTGAGCCAGCTAGGCACCCCTGCGTGGCAGTTCTTTATCGTTCCTTTGCTTGGCGTATATTTTGTTTCTTTAAATATATTGCACGTGATTATTTTCTATTCTGTGTCTAATTCCACCACTTCTGAGCCTCAACCTGTCTCTGCTGGTTTCACTCATGTTGTCTTGTGTTGTCTTATTTCTGACTTTGTTGTTGTTTCATCTGTGAGCCACTCGTCTTCCCGGGAACCTATCTTTGAGGCCTAGATGGAAATGAAGGTCTGGCAGAGAAGATGTGCAGCAGCTCCTGCCAGATGCCGGGGAGTCGCTGGGAAGCGATCTGCGTCCGATGCTCAGCTTGCAGTTTCGTGCTACGGCGGTGGCGTGAGTTCACAACACAGACTCATGTGAAAGCGGTCTTGTTATCCGTTCCTGAGAGTTCTTTGTTTTTCTTCACCTGCCCGTCAGAGCCGAGAAAGCAGTTTTCTTGCTGCCCTCTTCTGCACCACTGGGGTATTTCTTGTTCCCCTGAGAATGTGGGTGCGGGTCCCAGGTCTTCAGCCGTGTGCTGTCAGAGTCCTTACCGGGGGCAGGCCCTGAGTTGATCTCCTGTCAGTTGTCCCAACGGGAGTTTGGTGTCCGGGGGTGGCAGCAGCCCTCACGGCCGAGGCCGGCTCTGGCCCTCCCGTATCTGTAGGATTCTCGATGTCGCTTTGTCCAGGTTCAGTTTACTCCTTCGTGTTAGCTCTCAGTGGCGGGTGTAAAAAACTGTTACTGTTTCCTCAGGCTTTTGGTCGTCTCTCGTGGGAGGCGCAGCTATACGGTCAGTGTTGCCGGAGATGGGGTTCCGGGGTGGTTGTTTTCCCACGTGACCGTGCGCACCTCGCAGCCTCTTTCCCTCTGGATTTGCCCTTCCCCGCTTTGCCCTAGGCTGCTCAGCTCTTCCTTGGAGAATAGGATTTCCCAGATTTGCGACCGTCCCTGTGTTTCTTGTTGGAACCCCGTTTGGTTCCCCGTGTCTAGCCAGGAGGACGCAGCTCTCCGTGTGCGGAGCGGCGTCCGTCTTTCAGTCTGTCTTTTGCTAATCTGGTTCGCTACACTTGCCTCAACCTTTCCTCCAAGTCATTGTTTTTGTTCTCGGCAGGGCTTATTCTGTTTCCTATGCCTTAATTCTGTGTTGGGATCGTTTGGTACTTTGTGCTTTGGGGTCTGTGGTCTCATGATCTTGTTTTTGGTGTCCAGTCATTCAGCACTTGTTCTCTTGAACCCACGTTCTTTTTTTTTTTTTTTGAATCCACGTTCTTATCGTATTGTCCTATAGCGACCAACAGGTGTGTGGATTTCCCCTCTCTTTAGGCTGTTACCATTTTTTGAGTTTGGCTTTTGTTTTGCGTGCTGCTTTTTTTTTTTTTTTTTTTTTTTTTTTTTTTTCTTTTTGAATATTTGCATGGTTACCGTGCCATTTTCTTTCATTATGGCTCATGCTCCTCAGAACATTCGAGTTTGTTCTGCTGTATGGTGGCCGATCTCTCATGTGAGAGCATTTGGTTAAGAGCCACTTTGTTGCACCTCTGTTGGGTTCGGTGGGTCTCTTCTGAGATTTTGTTAAGAGTTATCTCTTAGAGTTCACTCTGCCTAGCTGGAAGAGAATAACACCCTTGGGCTTTGATTGTTTCTTTAACCTGTTCTATATCCCTGAAGCCCTGACTTCAGGGGTCGGTCCCCACATTCTCTTCTCATTTTGCTGGTTTCTCCTTAGCCGCCAGGGCTACCACTCACTGATCTGAAGATAAGGACACCCCCTCCATTGTTTCTCTGAAGATTTGGGGGCTTTAATGAGAATTCTCAGGATTTTGCTGGCCCACAGGACAATTTTCAGGGCCTGGAGGGGGGATTAGGAACTGTATTCTGCTGTCTGCTATACTTTAGAAACTTCTCCTTTTTCCTTGCCACTATTTGAAGTATATGGCTTCCGAGTATCTGTTTCTTTGTTTGGTGATTGTCACTGCAGGTTTCTGCTGCTTCTTTTCTTCCTTCTTCTAGGTCCTGGGGGAGAGAAGGTAGTTGTGGAGTGGTTTCAGCCTTCCATCTTAATCCAGAAGTCCAGCCCTGGTTTTTGTTTTTGTTTTGTGTTTTGTTTTTGCATTGCTACAGTTAAACCATGCCTCTTCCATTTTGATCTTTTTTAGTGGCTGTGTCAGGGATCAGGAGAAGGATGGAGTCTGAGATCTCCAGTCTTTTCTATTACATAAAATTTTATAAGAGAACTAATTACCTCTGGGATTATTTCAGTTCCTCTGTTTTTCTCACCCTTCTCTATTTCTGTCTCTCTCTTATATCTCTCTGTCTCTCTCTTATATCTCTCTGTCTCTCACATCTCTCTGTCTCTCACATCTCTGTCTCTCATATCTCTCTGTCTCTCTCTCTCTCACATGTCTCTGTCTCTGCTGCTTTTGGTGAAAACAGTTCGGGGTTCAGAGATGGGAAAGAAGACGACAGAGCCTCATGGCTGGGCTGTCTGTAGCATGCTCCCAACTAAGATCTTAGCTCTTTTTGTTCTTTGTTCTTCAACTTAAGCTGTTTTTCCTTTTATTAACTTCATTTGCCTCAGAATGGATGAGAGGTTATCTCGTATACTAAAACAAATTCTGTTGCCACGGAGAACAGTCTTGGCTTGTGCAAATGCCTTTGGCTACAAACAGCATCTGAAAGAAAATTCTCCAAGTAGGCCATGTTCTACTCTTGTTCTCTGACGTACTTACATATTAACAGCGAGAGTTTTTATAACGTTGGAAGAAGTTGACTAACATTACAAGTAGTTATTGAGGTTTTTCTCACTTCACGATTAAATTTCCATTTTTTTCTTTGGGCACACAGGGCAGTGGGAGATTAGCAGCATAGTTAAACGCAGAATTGGAGTGCCTGACTGGCTCAGTTGGAAGAGCATGCTACTCTTGATCTCAGGGTTGTGAGTTCAAGCCCCATGTTGGGCATGGAGCCTACCGAATAAAAATTAAACAAAAATAAATAAACATAGAAATTGGGGGATCAGCAATAAAAATCAGAAGTAGAATGTAGATATTCCTGCCTTTACAGTCAAAGTGCACTGTTGTTTGCCCAACAAATAATGATGTTGATTTGATTCTTTATTGGACTAAAAACAGGGTGTGTGCGCTGGGTGACTAGGGGTTTGGAAATACTTTTGCTTAGGTCATCACGGGACCTTAGTAAGAGACTGACGCACTGGAGACTTGGACGTTGCTGGTCCTTTCTTGACTTTCTTCACAGCTGGTTTGGCTCCTCATGTGACATTCTGAGGTCTTATGCTAGACCACAGGACGTGCTGCTGGTTTGCAGAGCTGACCTCCTCTGTAAGCATTTTCATGGTCTCCAGCACAGAAGTGCCGGGATTTGTAAACCGGTCTCCCTTGCCCAAGTTCAGTGCATTAACTTGTGGGTGATGGTTACATGTTTCACGAAGACTTCCTAAATCAAAATGTGACTGACTTCTCTCAGCTAATCTTCCATGTAACTGCTGACCACTGGGATTTTGTAGCCAATGGTATTTTTGTCCTATATGTGGTTACTTTAGGAAATTTCAGAAATTGCCGTCTCTTATTCCATCTCCTGTTAAGCTGTACTAAATGAACAAATGTAGAAAGTTTGACTTCTCAGCAACAGATGCTAATGGATGGCATTGGGTGAATTATTTTAGTCTTTGGGGCTTCTCAGCTGTACAATGAGGAGGTTATCTAAGCTTGTATGAATCTTCGGAGATGAGAAGTCTAAGAAAATAACCACCTAGCTCAGTGCTGTGGCTTTTTGTTTGATTTTTATTTGTTTGTTTGTTTGTTTTGAAATGATTCATTCTTAGATGCTATCTAAGAAGATAGCCTGATGGGTATGACTTGCCTGTGTTGGTCATGGTTTATGAGAGTCACATCAGGCTTTGAAAAGTGTTAGTTGAGGTTGTATTAGGTGTCAGCTGTTAGGCTAAGTGCTCAGAATATTGTCATGAGCAGATCGGTCCCCACCTTCATGAGTTTGTAGTCCAGTGAGGGAGATCGGGCTCATGACAGGCCCTCTGAGTGTTGGGAACCAAGATTGGGCTTAGCTGATAAAGCCAGATTTCCTTCCGGAAGACATAGCAGTGTCTGCTCTGCAGAATGCATTCGAGACCTTATCTGCTTCTGCATCAGACCACCATCAAGATCAAGGTGGCATCGATGTGCTTGCTGATCGTTGTCCCTCACTCCACTCCATGGATGTCGTCTCTTCTTTATTACAGGTGACCTCTGGGGGGACAGAAAGCATACTGATGGCCTGCAAAGCTTATCGGGACCTGGCCTTTGCGAACGGCATCAGAACTCCAGAAATGTATGTATGTGTGGCCTTTAGATTATCTGTTTGGAGTACCGCTGTTGCAAACAGCCTGACCATCTATTTTCTGCTTCTTCTCTTCCCTCTTCCTCTGGCAGTTCCAGTCCTCATTCTTCCTTTCCTTTGCCCTTGACCCTCATCCCTTCAAATTCTGCAACGTCCTGGGTGGATCAGCCAGTTAATTTTAAAGGTCATTCCCCTTCCCAGCTCGCAAGTTTGTACACGGCATATACTGATAGCAAGAATGAGATCCTTTTTCTAAAAGTGACAGAGTGACGGGACTACATCTTTGAATTCTGTGATTTTATTATAAGTAATCTGGAGCCTAAGGAAAACTCTAATTACCTAGTTCAGTGAAAGTTACTTAAATATAATAGGCTGCCTCGGGGTGCTTCCTGAGAAGATTTCAGCCTGAGGGCTATTTTTTGGGAGGAAAACTTTAAAAAATTTTTTTGAGATTCATCCATAATGGCACCCCATGGGCATACTTTTGATATTTGGCTGCATTTTTTTCTCTAGACCCTCTCCTTATCCAGTGTGTTTATACTGCATCCTCTGGGTTACTGTTTTCCTGCAAATGTCACTAAGGGTTTTGTTGCAGGTGATCTCATGCCTGAGAGAATAAATCACAGTGCCATCTTTCTCACACATAAATCTTAGTGCCTGGTACTTACTCAGTAATCGAGACTTTCCTTCCTTAAGGGGAACAGATTGATTTTGAGAGTGTAGTAATTGAGAGAAGTCTGAAAGCAAATACATAACCATGGCTCAGTCTCCTTTTCAGTGCTATTTGTCTTTTTTTTTTTTTTTTTTTAAGTGAGCTCTGTGCCCAGCGTGGGGCTTGAACTCATGACCCTGAGATCAAGCGTCACATACTCTACCAATGGAGCCAGCCAGGCGCCCCCCCATTTCAGTGCTATTTGAAATGCTGCTTCCAAGTTTACAGGAACAATGGGAATTTTCGTTTCTCACAGTCTGTGGGCTTTCAGAGGTGGAAGGAACCACTGACTTGGTAGAACACCCCAGCCAAGCGGTCTTGGGTTCCTGCTTGGCTGTGTATTGTGTCAGGCAGCATGTTCCCACCAGGGTCTCCCGGCTTTGGATGGCCAACACAAAAAGGCTCTGCCTGATGCTGGTCTGATCCAAATTCCCAATCCCTCGTCTTTTACCTGTCAGCCCTCATTTATGCTTAGGATTTGCTAAATCATAGGGGGAAATTTTCCATAGAAAATCATTTGACCTCTTTTTATTTGTGGTTAAAAAGAAAAACAACATAAACACTTGTAAAAAGGTGAGGAAAAATAATTAGAAGTTTGCTCTTGGGGATTTAGATGAGCTGCTAATGAGGCTCTCTCTTGAACCCTGCTTTTGTCTGAATTTCATTATTTTCCTCTTCTCTATCATTTAGTGTGGCCCCCCAGAGTGCCCATGCTGCATTTGACAAAGCAGCCAATTATTTTGGGATGAAGATTATACGGGTTCCACTGAACAAAATGATGGAGGTGGATGTTCGGGTGAGTTCCCCTGAAGGGCCATTTCCTGCCGGGGACTGTGAGGTGCAGGAATGTACCCGACCGGCTGACTTTTTCCAACGTCGTGCACACATGGGCTCCGGAGGCCTTGGACTGTAGCGGCCAGAGCCGACGAGCTGCTGTTGGCAGTGGTGATTGAGTGTTTCCATAAATTCAGAGGTCTGATAGCAAGATGATCTATCTAGTCCCTGACTTGAGACTTCGCAGACCTTGATTTTGCTTCAGCAACATCACTTTCCCCTTTGTCTTTGTGCCATGAGCACGGACTCACCTGCCCCCAGACTCTTCTTGTGGTTTTTATTGGCCTGAATCGGTATCCTTGCCAACAGAATAGTAACAATATTTATTCAGAACCAAACTACCCAAGTTATTAGCACTGGCATTATTTGTGCCTGCCATCTTTACTGATTTATGAACTGACAAATTAATGAGTTGACAAATAAAAAATATATTGAAGGTGCCAGCTTGATGTTTTGAGATGTGTATACACTGCAAAATAATCCCCACAGTCATACTATTGAACATACCTATCTCCTCAAATAGTTACTGTTTTCTTTCTTTTTTTTTTTTCCTCCTTGGTTGGCATACTTAAGACTCCCTCTTTGACCTCCAGCTGATTTCAAGCATACAGTGCAGTATTGTTGTTTCGTGGTCACATGGCCATCCACTAGCCGTCCAGAACTTGCTGTTAGACATCACTGAAACTCGGTGCCCCTCATCCCCCAACCCCCAGCAAGCAGCATTCCACTCTCTGCTTCTGAGATTGACTGCTGTACCTGCCGTGTATGTGAGATCATGCAGTATTTATCTTTCTGTTCCTGGCCTGCTTAGCAGTATGCCTTCCAGATTCATCCCTGTTGTCATAAATGGCAGGCTTTCTTTTTTTAAGACTGAATTGTAGTCCTTTATTTTTATGCCTTGCCTTTGTGGAGAACTTTCTAGTTTCTAGAGTGCTATACAAATTGCATCTGAGCTTTATGACAGCCCAGGGAAGTTGTAGAAGCTGTTAGTATTTTTGCAGTGCACAGGTGAGGAAACAGACCGCGGCGGTTAAGTAGTTTACCTCCGGTTTCAGCGCTAGTAAGTGGGGCCGGGACATGCTCCGCGGCATCTTCGCCCGATGCTGTTTCCTCCCACAGTGATTTGCTGTATTGTGGCCTCAGACTGTTTTTCCCAGATGGACCCCTCTGGCCTGGTTTTCTGTGCTGCCCCCATGGCAGGGGCGGTCTTCTCTCGGGTTGGAGAGGTGGAGGCAGCGGCGCTGGAGGAGCGCAGACCCTGAGCCAATAGCGACAGAGGAGAGTAATGTTGACGTGGCTTCTCATTTTCCTTTCGACTTTAACCCCTAGGCGATGAGGAGAGCCATCTCCAGGAACACTGCCATGCTCGTCTGTTCTGCCCCCCAGTTTCCTCACGGTATCCTAGATCCTGTCCCTGAAGTGGCCAAGGTACGCGGGAGAAATGGGCCGCTTGCTAGGTGGTCAGGTTGAGATTTTATGAGAGAATCTAATGGTGCGGGACTCGGCAAGGAGAAGCAAGTGCGAGTTCAGATTTGTGCACAAATCCCAGGAGCCCCAGAGGAAGCCTTCCAGCTCCCTTCGGAGCCTCTGCTGTGGGGGAGGGATGACACAAGGTAGAGCCTTTGTTGAAGCTGGATACTCTGGATACTCTGAAAGAGCGCCGCTGTTTCCATTCAGCCGGGAGATGGGCTGCTTGTTAAGGGTGTGCCTCGCAGGGGGCGGTGTCCCACAGGCTCCCCACCCCGCCGTTACTAAAGCAGCACCTTTCCCCCCTAAATCACAGCGCTGCTTGTGTCCTGTTCGGCTTTGCATTGCGTTTGGGGCCCTGCAGTATTTAGATATAAAATGCTACATTTCAGATGAATTATTTTGAAGGCTAAATACATTTGGAAGATGAGCTTTATTAGGAATGTCAAAACTAGCCAGTTTTTTAAAACATGAAAGCCATTGTGCATAACGGCCTTGGGATTACAGCACACCTTTCCACCTGTGTCTTACAAAGTTTTTGTTAGATGGCTATAAATGAAATTCTCTTGCGGTCTCTTTTGGAACTAGCTGGCTGTCAGATACAAAATACCTCTTCATGTAGACGCTTGTCTGGGGGGCTTCCTCATCGTCTTTATGGAGAAAGCAGGATACCCGCTGGAGCAGCCGTTTGATTTCCGGGTGAAAGGCGTGACCAGCATTTCAGCTGATACCCACAAGGTGAGGCGGGGAAGGACCGAATGTTAAAGTAGCCATTTGATTATTTCGACTACTATCAACAAAATAAATTGGTTAGAGCGTTAGCGTCTGCCAGAAATGTAAAATTAAATCCGGCTCTTTGCTCTCACCGGGGTAGCTGGTTCAGGTGACAAGTAATAGCGAAAAGAGACCCATTATCTTGGCGGCATGTGGCTAAGAGAATTTCTGTGCCCGCTGACGGCATGTGACTGGGACATGCTGGTACCTAGGCATGTGGCCCACAGAACAAAGTTCCCTGAAGCTTTCGGATCCTTTGGGGTGAGGTCGATGGTAGAACTCCTAAGAGGGTGTATGTTAGTGCTGTAGCTCCGCGCTGCTGGGGCTCCTGCCCTGAGCGACCGGTGCAGGCTAACGGGAGAGTCCTGTGGAAAAAGGGAAGAGCTTAGGTGCTTGGGAATGTTCGGATGCTGCTGCCCCTGGGGGACCGAGACCAAGTGTAGGTTGGTCAGGAACGCTTTTAAACGGCATCCAGATGTGGAGATGGAATAGCGGCCTCGGGATGCGTGCTCTGTCTTGGCTGGCACTGGCAGAGTTCTTTTTAATTTCCAGTGTAGTGGGGACCTGGTTCTCAGACTCTAAATAACGTGTACGGATCTTCCTTCAGGATCTGATCCGATTTCACCTCGGCCCCCAGCAACCCCTGTGCCCCCTTCCTTACCATCTCTCCCGGTGTCTGTCAGGGAGTGAACTTAGCTCCACGTGAGCTGCAGGGACAGTTCGTTAGGAGGGCACATTTTCTATAAGGAAACCAAGCACACAGTTTATTTTTCAGCTGCATCAAGTAGCTTCTGGATTCTGAGCACTGTGATTTTTTTAAAAGGAAGTATAATACTAATGAAAATAACGGGAAGGGAGTCAGCTCGTGATTTGAGTTGTTCCGAGTGACACGAATTCCACCCTTCTTCCCTAAAAGAGGGTTCCCTCCAGCCTTTAACCTCCTGACTTTGAATTCTTTTTTTTTTTTAATTTTTTTTTTTCAACGTTTTTATTTATTTTTGGGACAGAGAGAGACAGAGCATGAACGGGGGAGGGGCAGAGAGAGAGGGAGACACAGAATCGGAAACAGGCTCCAGGCTCCGAGCCACCAGCCCAGAGCCCGACGCGGGGCTCGAACTCACGGACCGCGAGATCGTGACCTGGCTGAAGTCGGACGCTTAACCGACTGCGCCACCCAGGCGCCCCTGAATTCTTTTTTTTAATTGTTTATTTATTTTTGAGAGAGAGGGTGAGAGCAGAGAGAGAGGGAGACAGAGGCTGCGACGTGGGCTCTGCGCTGACAGCGGCGAGCCCATGGCGGGGCTTGGACTCCCGAACCGTGAGATCGTGGCCTGAGCTGCAGTCGGACGCTCACCCGACTGAGCCACCCGGGCGCCCCCTGACTTTGAATGTTTCACGTGGGCGGGAAGCAGAGAGAAGCGGGCGCGTGAGAGAGAGGTTTGCGGGCTGAGTTTGTGGGGCAGGCGTGCCCGGCAGAACCGTGGACTCACCTGTGCTTCTCCCCCTCAGTATGGCTATGCCCCCAAAGGCTCGTCCGTGGTGTTGTACAGTGACAAGAAGTACAGGAGCCATCAGTTCTTCGTTGCTACCGATTGGCAGGGTGGTATCTACGCTTCCCCGACCATCGCGGGCTCACGGCCTGGAGGCATTAGCGCGGCCTGTTGGGCTGCCTTGATGTACTTCGGTGAGAGTGGCTATGTTGAAGCTACCAAACAGATCATCAAAACCACTCGCTTCCTCAAGTCAGAGTATGTGTGCAAGATCGGGATTCTGCCTCGTCTCTTGCTTTGTCTGCTCGTAGGTTCGAGGCGTCTGCCTGGCCAAGCACCCGTACTCCCAGCCCGTTTACCGTCCTCTGGAGACCGGGGCTTTAGGACAGCAGCTCAGGAGTGTGGTGCTGGCCCAAGAGGATAAGTTCCCTTGCTCTGCTGTGACTTGGAGGGTCAGATCCAGGCTTCGTCTTGAGCCATCGTGTCTCAAAGGACGTGTCAGCAACCGGCAGCTCTTACCAAGGGCTGATAGACAGTTCAGTGCGAACTTGAGCATGTGTCCTAACCATCCGGAGGATGTGTTTAAAATGCAGAATTCTCATTCAGTAGATCTGGAAAGGGAGTCTGAGGGTGTGCGTCTCTAGGAATTTCCCAGTGGGAACTGAAGCTGCCAGTCTAGGAATCACACGTGGAGAATCGCTAGTGTAGGAAAAGAATTGGGGATGAGGCGGAATGAATGGGGGCGGGGCAAGTGAGGAAATCCAGGGCTGAGCTAAGGCTGGAACTAGGCTGCGTGCTGGCTGACTTCTCTGTGCACATATTACCCGCCTGTCTCTGTGGCTCACCCAGGCTGGGGAGGCTTTTGCAGAGTCCTAAAGGTGAATGAAAGTGGCCAGTTAGGCCTGTCTCATTTGAAAGAAGCCTGCATATACCCAGCTGGTAGACCTGTGTGTTGAGAGCTGCTGTACCATTTCATGCATTAGGCATGACATGTAGGACTTTAAACTGTGGAGATAGATGATTTTGCCAGGATTTTTTTTTTTTTTTACTGTGCATTTTTTTTTAAATTTTTTAAATGTTTACTTATTGTTGAGAGAGAGAAAAAAAATGCGAGTGGGGGAGGGGCAGAGAGAGGGAGACAGAATCCAAAGTAGGCTCCAGGCTCCGAGCTATCAGCACAGAGCCTGACGTGGGGCTCGAACCCACGAGGCCCGAGATCATCACCTGAGCTATCAGACACTCAACTGACTGAACCACCCAGGCTCCCCTTAACGTGCATCTTTTATGCCTCAGATGCCTCTCAGGCATATCAGAATTTGGGAGTTGGGCAGATAGGGTAAGAGCCGATGATTCTGACTCATTGGAGCTTGGTGGGATTTGGGCCTTTGAATACTTGTAATGTTTGGGGACCACTGCTCTCAGTCTAGCCACCTGATTTTAGAAGGTGAGAGAGCTGAGGCCCTAAAACATTAGATTGTGTTATAGGGGAGACATTGAATGATTAGAGAGGTGATCGCCCGAGGAGTGTATGTGGCTGAACTTCCTTTCTGTTCCTTTTTTTGTTTTCAGGCTGGAAAATATCAAAGGCATCTTTGTTTTTGGGAATCCTCAGTTGTCAGTCATAGCTCTGGGCTCCCGAGATTTTGACATCTACCGACTGTTTAACCTGATGACTGCCAAGGGATGGAACCTGAACCACCTGCAGTTCCCACCCAGGTAAGCTGGAGGAGCCTCTTCCCTTCCTGCGCGCCGTGGCTCCCAAAGAACTCGGGTGGCAAGGTGACCCGAAGCGTAGAGATCGGCTATGAGGCCGGGCACCGCAGTGGCAACTGTAGTAGCTGTAGGATTGCGTCTTGCCATCTGGAATTACTCTGTATCCAGAACAAGACGATTAGTTTTAAAACTAGCAAAATTAGGTGGCAGCCTCTTGAGACCAGTGGCCGGTCATGAGACGCCTCCCCACCGCCCCTGCTGTCTTTCTAGGCTGTGCTCTCTCTACCCGTCTTGTGCACCGCCATCACATGGTGCCTACAAACTGACTGCTTCCCTCAAAACCTCCCTTAGGGCCTCTAATTGTTCAGGTCCGCTGCTCTCTCCTTTAATATGCCTTTGTAATCTAACCTTCCATGATGCTTATAAATAAATAAACACTTCACCCCAACGGCAGAGGTCTCTCCTGTGTCTTCTATGTACCCCGATCCCTTTGACTTCGTGGTGCCATTGCCAGTCCTGTGTGGACTCAGTTTATTCCTCTTCACTATCCCTCTGTTCCTCAGTCTCCCTCCAGGGGGAGTTAGAGTTGCTTCTTTGCCTTGAAGTCCTTCAAGACCCCAGCCCTGTGGCCCTGTCCCCATGAAGGTGTATCATCTAAGATGAAAGCATCCCCTTGGTGGTCACGTGGCTCAAGGCCTAGCAGTTGACCGTTTTGGAGGGGAGGGGTGGGACAGAGCTGGCAGCTGTATTCATTCTGTCAGGATGTTCTCGATCATGCTGAGGCATGAAGCCCTCGTGTCAGCCCATGCTCGACAGCCCATGTATTTGATCTCCCTGATTCCCAGGACTGGGAACACTCGTCACAAATCACATGAAGAAGCAAGTGATAAATTCCTGTGTGGGGGGCTGCTTTATTTTAGAACTTTTTTCCCCTGAGGTTCATCTCTGTCTGTGTCTGTCTTCTCCCGTAGTATTCATTTCTGCATCACGCTGGTACACACTCGGAAGCGAGTAGCCATACAGTTCCTAAAGGACATCCGGGAGTCTGTCACTCAGATCATGAAGAATCCTAAAGCAAAGACCACAGGAATGGTAGGGACACTTGGGATTTTTTTCTTCCTGTGGAAGTTTAGGTATCCTGGGGGGTTGGAAGAACCAAGTGACCTCGAGTCTGTTCCTGCCTCTGTTATGTCTCCACAAACCTTATTACTCCAAGCTGATAATCTCTGCCTCACCCGTGTCCAAGGTGTTTGGTCTCAAATGAAGTATGCTATGTAGAAAGCACCTTATAAATTTAAAAGTGCCATACAAAGGCAGGTGGTGGTCCTGTCCCTTTGAAAAGAAAGTTTTGACACAGGAAAGGCAATAGCCTGACTTTTCTGGAATTTTCTACAGCAAATCCCATAGGCTGGTTCCTTTGGGCAGAAAGGCACACTGGCAAGTACCTGTGAAAAACTGTCTGGGTGGGCATGGAGTGGGGAGAAGAGGGACATGGAAGTCAGGGATGGGAGGAGGGGGAGATCAGAGCCACAGCTTCATCTCCATCCCTGTCCCCCTCATTGCCAGTAATGATCTCTGTCTGGATTTGTAGGGTGCGATCTACGGCATGGCCCAGACGACCGTCGACAGGAACCTGGTGGCAGAATTGACCTCAGTCTTCTTGGACAGCCTTTTCAGCACTGACGCTATAACTCCGAGCAGCCAGATGAACGGTTCTTCGAAACCCCGCTGAGTCTGGACCCTTCGTTGCCCCGAGGGGCTCCTGGCCTTCAGAAGGTTCTGGGGGTGTGGAACAGGTCGCACACAGTTCGAACATCTGGTCTTGCTCCGTAGATCACGACGAGATGGACCACGAGACGGCTTGATCCTCAGGATTCTTGTTCCTCCTATCATCCTTTTGTGGTTTTGAATGTGGAGATCCCAAAGGAGTCCATTACCTAATTATTTTGCCCTTGCTCTCAAATGTTACCCTAGGAATCGTTTTAGCCATTTCCTTCTCTAACCTTCTAGCTTTCCACTTCACTTCATCATTGTGTGACAGCTCCGACCTGTCCTGATTCCTTAGGGAGGCTGGGGTATGGTTTATGCAATACGAGAGGGTTTTCTTTGTTCTCTCAGGCAGATGGGCGAGGCAGCTCGGAAGCATCCGTGTGACACGTGTCTCCCCGGGTGGTGTTAGGTGTACTCTAAGCACGCGGCCTTCTCGGCCCTCCTCTTTGAGTAGGTGAGTCGTCCCTCTTAGAGTCGCTTTTAGCACACCTCACTTTATTTTTCCAGGACACAGCTGGACAGGCCGCTGTTCCTGGTTTGCAGGATTGGAGTGGCCAAGCAGATCTGCTCAGTCTATCAAGGCAGGCTCTGGAACGGCCCTCTTTCGTGCTCCAGTCCCTGGTCTGATACTTGGTTGCTGCCGTCTTTGGAGATACGTGTTTGAAGTCATGCTCTCCTTGGTTTCCTATTGTTCCCCTGGATTAAGAAGAGAACGTGGTTTCTAGAGAACCCAGGACTTTCCGGCCCTCGTGCTGCCTGTCTGAATTGGCAGTGTTCGGAGCACACCTGTACCCTCTCCCAGGCTGGTGATGATTGGAAACCAGGGCCCTTTCCCTGCGTCTCTGAGTGTCAGAGCAGGATGAGTGCCCAGAGTCACATCTCTGTCGCCAGAGTTGGTGGTCCTCCCCTCCCCACCCCCCACCGTTGTAAGCCATCATGTAGGAGTATGTTCACTTGAAGGAACAGCTCAGAGCACCTTCACGAGTTGCCTTGACTTACCCTAGGTGGGTGCCAGTAGGGTGTGAGAGAGAGCCCCCATGGCAAGGAAAATTTTCTCCCCATTAGTGTGTTCGTCCTGCCTCTTTCCCTATATTCATCTCGCAAAGGTACTATGGCAGTTTAGCCTCAGGTACTGGACACTTCTCAGCCCTGGCTAGAATGAGACAAACTTGTTAGGATAGGAAAGCATGACGGCAACCGTCAGTTGCGGCCTAGGGCCTGGGATTCCTTCCTAAGACTAGTTGCTCAGGGTGGTGCAGGGACAGGACCAAACCCTGCACCCACTTCCTACCCCCTTCTCCCTTGCACGGGGCCCTGATCTAGGTGGAGCCACCGTCTTCCTCTGAAGACGACATATTGTGTGCCTTTTTCCTCACAGTGAGCAGTGGTGGGCTATTCCTGACCCAGGCCCTGGGGGAGGTGCAGCAGTCTTTGAGATTTTTGTTTGGGTAGGGGAGTACTTTAGGATGAGTCAGGAGAAAATCTCCTCTGTTCCATTACCCTTCTCAGGGATTCCTGAACCATTCAGCCTCTTGAGGCTGGTATCCTCTGGCCTCCCTCACTGGGAATGCTGGCCAGGAGAGCCAAGACGACCAGACTTCCCCCGCCCCCAGGCCTTTAGCACTGTACTTCCTCCACAATAACTGTGATTAGCTGGCTGTGTCACTGCAGGGCTGGTGTGGTATGTGTTCCTCCTGTCCATTGTGGGTTCCAGGAGAGGTTGGGGCGTGTGTGTGTGTGTGTGTGTGTGTGTGTGTGTGTGTGTGTGTGTGTTAGAGGGAGAGGCTAGGATCCTTTGGACCCGGGGGTCACGTTCTCTCCATTTACCGAACTGGTGGGCACCCCCCCAAGAGAGGAGCTCTGTGTGAACTGTCTCTTGGGTCTCCGGTGCATTCGTGGCGCTGGACAAACCACCCAGCAGGCACCACTGTGGTCTGTTAGCTGCTAAACTGGAGAAGCACATGCCCTACAGAGCAAGCTGTTGCTTCCAGTGTCTGCAGGCCCCCCTCTTCCGTGACAGCACTGCTGCCCCGGGGCAGTGGCATTTTTTAAAGGGACCTACTGTAGCCACTTTATGATCATGAGCCTTAGTTGGACTCAACACTTGTGGGCTTTCCATTCTCTGTGTATCTGTGCACATAGTAACACCTAGTCTGGCAGAGGTGGGCAGAAGTCTTCACGATGTCATGTTGCTAGCAGATGTCACATTGGCCTCTGCAGAAACCGTACTGTCTTGTTTCTACATTAAGTACTCGCGTGAATATACTGCCATGTCACTTTTAATATTACCAGTTTTATACTTGGAAAATGGTACTTGCCTCTTCTAAATCTTTTCTGTATTTAACCTCCTTCTTCCCATCTCAGTGCTCCCTTCCTAACTGCAGCAATAATATCTTAAAAAGCAATTAATTAAATGTCCCAAATCTTAACTAATGTGGATGGTTGTATTCAATGATTTGGATGCAGGTGGTTGATCCAGGGGGAGGGGGTCAGGCTGGGGCAGTTCTAGAACGGGCTGCTGGTGGGACATCGCCCCCTTGTGGTGAAATGGTTGTGTGTGGCCGCTGATACTCAGGGCCGTAGCCCTGGGCGAGAGCACCTTTGCAGGTGGCTTCTCCAAGAGTGGTGGTCATACCGGTTTTAAGGAGTTCTAGAACTTAGGTCTTTAGCTCCCCAGGACCTGGGCCCTGCCTTGTGTTTTCTGTCATCTTCATCATTACTTCTGCTGATACCTTAATGATGGATTGAGCCCTCTGAGGTGGGCCCCAGCCAGCTGGGCACTGGCTTCGAGGCCCGCATTTGATTTGGGAGTTGGTGGAACCCCTCAGAATAGCTCTGCACATGTAACCACTGGACACCTTGTTCCGTTATGAATAAGAAGTGAGCAGTCTTCCCAAAGGGTTATTCGGGTCTTGGAGGCTGTCCTTTCAGGTAGCCCAGTTTCTCAATTCCATTTGGACTTTGTCAGATTCAAGCCAAGGAATGTTGTCTTTGCTACAGTTTTCTGCCAAATGACTTGGTTTCCTGAGCACCTGGTTGCTCTGGGTAAACCCTAGAGAATAAGAGGCCAGGATATGCTTGGTTAGGGGACCTGGCCCATCCAAGAGTTGCTGTTTGAATGCTTACTCCTGCTACTTACTCTGAACCCTTTTGCCTTCCCTGTGGGTTCTTGGTAGCAACGAGCCACTTTTCACTAGACCTGGCAGTGACAGAAGTGATGATGGAGGCCGGATTTGATAGCCACCAGCTACAGCCTGGGTAAGCAAGAGTCAGCTGTTTGAAACCTTTCTTGAGTTGTGAGTCTTAATTGCCTTTTTCTTGGCCTTGCTTTTTCATAATCTCTCCTTAACATCTTCCCATATAACTTCAGTTATTTGCATGAATTTTAGAACAAACATTTATTTTGGAAAAAGTATTGCTTATAGGTTTTTGTCCCACAGAAAAGTCCTTCATATGACTGTAGTGTCCTCCAGGATGGTGTTTTCAACCCCTGACCCCTGAGTAAGCAGAGGCAGGAAGGTGACGTAACGTGTGCTCCATACTTCCATGTCTGGTGGCTTCTGTCCCCTAATCCGCAGTCATCAGATCAGAGCCCACTTAGGAAAAGTTAAGTCAGAAGTGGGGCAGACGGGAGAGCATCTGCATCTCATTGGTTTTGATATTAAGCTTTGCTAAGAACTTGCTGTTGACCTAGGTATTGTTATCTTTAGATCCTGCTAGTACCTCTTACCAACAGTATGCTGATTTCTCAGCCACCAACCTCTGTCTCTTTTCTGGCCCTTGTTGCAGGACCAACTCATCCAGGGTAACTGGGTTGTGACACCCTGTTCCAAGGGACTGTGGCATTTGCAAGTCAGCTTAGTATGCCGGCACCTTCAGGCTAGGGGGTCATAGGTGAGGGAGAAGGGCTTCCCCAAATCTTGCATAATGGCATCCGCAAAAGGACATCCATGTGGCATGCGCTGGGGAGAGAGGTTACTGTGCTCTGTGGCTCCCACTTCTCCCAGACACAGCACATTATGGGAATATTCTACCCTAGAGTCTCTAGGTTGGAGGACTGGTCTGTAGGAATTGGCTCCTTCGCTGCTCAGGTGGTAAAATAGCCCATCACCTCCTTAAGGTAGGATTTTTGTCCTCTCCCTTATGTAGTAAAAGCAAGTAATCCTTGAGGATTAGAAATCTCCCCATGGGATGGGGCACCTGGGTGGCTTCATTAAGCGTCCGACTTTGGCTCAAGTCATGATCTAGCAGTTCGTGAGTTTGAGCCCCGTGTCGGGCTCTGTGCTGACAGCTCAGAGCCTGGAACCTGCTTCAGATTCTGTTTCTCTCTCTCTCTCTGTCTCCCTCCCTCTCCCCCACCGCCCCACTCATGCTTGCTCTCAAAAATAAACATTAAAAACATTAAAAACAAATCTCCCCATGGGATCATACAGCCTAAGACTGCCTTTTTTTTTTTTAATTTTAGTGCAAGTGTGAGTGGGGGAGGGGCAGAGAGAGAGAGAGAGAGAGAGAGAGAGAGAGAGAGAGAATCCCAAGCAGCCTCAAGTCAGCACAGAGCCCGACATGGGGCTTGATCCCACAAATGGTGAGAGCACGACCTGAGCCAGGATCAAGAGTTGGACACTTAACCAACTGAGCCACCCAGGCGCCCCACGCAGACTGCCTTCCTAGTCACAGGTCCCACCACGGATAAACACAGTGTCCTACACACCTTTACTTTTATTCATGGTGCCCCTCAGCCATCTCTGCCTCAAGAATTCCATTCAGGCATAATTTAAATGAAGCCTCCAGAGTCACCCTTGTCAATCGCCTCATGTTTCCTTAGCTCATTTCTTATCCTCGCCTGTAGCACTGACTTCATTCATCCTGCCTAGTGATAGTTAACTGCTTCCTGCTTAATTCCCCTACATGACCGTGAACTCCATGCAGACAGGGTGGCTTGGTCCTACTTTTCCTCCAGTG